CTGCACTTATCCTTTATATTCACATATGTTTAAGTGCGTCATTGATATTATGATATATACGACTTCACGGTAGCATGTAATTAATTGTTAGTAAATATATAGCGCTGTGAACGACATGTCCATTTATATATCATCATTTAATAGAACACTTAAATTTGAAATATATTATTGCGTCAGTGCTGTTGATAATAGCTGACATCAAATTAATTTGTTGTCAAATAGAGTAACTATTTCATTTTATAATTGGAAAATTCTCTGATCTCAAATATTCTCCTGTAGTGGATGATACTTTATTCAGACTAGAGACTCTAATGGAGAGACTGAGAAAACCCATACATTGAAGTTTTATAGAGATAGCTGACCATTAGCTCCAGAAATATATAGAGAAGAGGTGTGAATTGCACCAGGTACCATATCTTTCCAGCATTGCCTAGCCTATTCCATGAAACAGTTAGGATGCTGACTTCTGAACCGGGCAGGTATGCTGCTCCGCTCATTGAACTAGCAAATATTTTGAATAGACGAATGAAGATTTGAAATTGCAAAGTGAAGACTTCAGTGTGATACTTTTGCATGAGTAGTTTAAGTAGTGTCACACGCTATCATAATCAGACAATAAGTCATAATCACGTGGCTGAAAATTTGACATCCAATCCACAAGTCTGAAAATAAAGGAAATGAAAACGTTTCGGTCCGCCTTTGACCATTACACGACTGGCTAATGGTCCAGGATGGACCGAAACGACATATTCTGTTTTTTTCTCAGATTTATGGGTTGATTATCTGAGCACAATACTGTTTCAGGAGGGGACATGATATTCGCTACAATGTAGTATATAACCACCATTGTATCATAATACCTAATGAGAGTTGTAATAGATCACCAATAAAATAATAATCAATAAATAATCTCCGATTCGGACCATAACAATGTCAACTTTTTCACCGTTTGGTTGTTGTTGTTGACAGTGATTTAATAAATTATAATCAAGATAATAACATAAAAGTAAATATAAATACAGAAAAAAAACTAATTACGAGTATAGCTGAAGGGGAGAACACACGAGTTTTGAGAAATAAAATATTATAGCATTTTGAGAAAGAAAATCTTACAGCATTTTGAGAAAGAAAATCTTACAGCATTTTGAGAAAGAAAATCTTACAGCATTTTGAGAAAGAAAATCTTACAGCATTTTGAGAAAGAAAATCTTACAGCATTTTGAGAAAGAAAATCTTACAGCATTTTGAGAAAGAAAATCTTACAGCATTTTGAGAAAGAAAATCCTACAGCATTTTGAGAAAGAAAGTCTTACAGCATTTTGAGAAATCAATCCATCCTCGCGGTAACTAAAGTATACAGGCACCAAACTACACCAGATTTCTCAATTAACTCAGAGAAAAGAAGAGATACAAAGAAAAGAAAAGGAAGCAGAGAGAGAGATTCAGATATTTTCAACAAGAAACATTGAATTGAAGACAAACAGGATCCGGGTAGTATTCGTTCTTATAATCCATCCTCTGATTTTTTCTCAAATTCACGTTTTTACCTCGCCTCGTGACTCTAATATTTAATGTCACCTTATTGTATGATGCTTCACATATTCTCTTGCCTACAAACACAACCCAGTTGCCTTCCTTGTGGCATGGAACGTGAAGAGAGGTGTTGGTGAAGCAGACGCGAGAGTCAAGTGGTTGTAAAGAAATGGGTAAATGGGGGAGAATGTATTATGAGGATGGGATGTGCATTTGGAAGCCAGAATGGGAAGATGATGGGACGGAATGGATGAAGAGAGAGGGGGTGCAGAGCTGACCAAGCAGAATGGATGGATTGGGCAACAGAAGGGCGCAGCTGTGTTAACACACAATCAATCATAATATCAACCCGTTCTTTTGATTTGACACTACATATAGAATTCAACTTCCTAAACTAACCTGAAACTTACTAACCAAACCAACCCACCTAACCTATCACTCCAATGCAGAGAAAACGTAGATTTCCATTACTTGTTATTACGTGAGCCATTACTTGTTATAGTAGGTTGGATTTCTAACGTTAGTCACCATTATTTACAAATCGTGATCTGTTAGTTGAGAGGACGGGTTGTATACATAGCCTCACAGTTATTTTTGTTGACACCGCTTGTACTATGTCACTACTATGTCATAGTAACTTGTTGTGACTACTGGAGAACGGTAGCTTAGTGTGACACAGGTTATAGTGTCACTTTGCCCTCTATGTATTTATATAAATGTTTTGCTGTTATAAATGTCCTTGAATTTTATGTTCCACACCCTCACATGCAGCTTGAAAATCTTATATATCATTTATACACCTTTTTCCAAGCATCCTCTCAGAGAGGTTAATTAATCCCCTGCTAAATGAACAATACATTTGGAGCGAGGAAGGAATTAAATTAGCATTTTACCATGATTTATTACGCTTGGAGATTAAACTTAACACCTCTTTTATACAGTTTTCATTGCATACATACGTTATAGTGGTAAGTATGCCAACTTTGTTTTCACAAACACACCAAATAATTATCCCGCATATGATGTGGAGCTCAGACAACCTCGCATGTGCTTGGGAAATAAATGCTTGCTCTAAAGCTGCACCAACACCCACTTAATACACACACTCACACACACCAATTCACTTGTTGATTGGCAGTTGAATTGCAGGACAAAAGATCCAAAGCTCAACCCCCCGCAAGAACAACTAGGTGAGAACACACGTTCGTCTCTGACTGAAGAGGAAGAACGCTTTTATTAATCATAGTATCAAATGTACGTATAATAAGCAAGGGGCTGGGACTTTTTGTCATTTGCGTCCGGCAAGTGAGAATCGTGGCCCAGTAGCTAAAACTCGTCCTGCAAGCTCATATGGGTGAGAACACACAACCGATATTATGTTCGTTTGTGTCTTCTCAAACACACAACAGCAAATTCGTACACCAACACACATTTGTGCATAAGAAAATAACAGAAAATGAAAGTTAAAATCACTGCATTAGAGACATTGATTTGTAACGACAGAAACTTACGCATGGTAAACCAGATTCTGAAAAATTTTATTCGTGGAAATAAGTGTGTTCATCTGCACTGGTGACCTCTTTAAACTGGCTCCCCTATTCGAATAATTCAAGTATAGTTCAAGTTGATTCGAATCCATAATTCGAATAATTCAAACACTCGTGGTAACTTTTATATGAACTAATGTTGGTATTGATCCAGAGATTGTGTTCTCGTGGTATCACATCCAGCTGCTCACAGCTGCTCTGGTACTCTAATATCATCCTTGGTACCTCTGGTAAGTGCTCGAGATTCCCATTTTCTCTTCCTCCATTGGTACTTCCATATCGATTATAAATCTCAAACTTTTTTGGGGGATATATATATATATATATATATGTCGTACCTAGTAGCCAGAACGCACTTCTCAGCCTACTATTCAAGGCCCAATTTGCCTAATAAGCCAAGTTTTCATGAATTAATTGTTTTTCGACTACCTAACCTACCTAACCTAACCTAACCTAACTTTTTCGGCTACCTAACCTAACCTAACCTATAAAGATAGGTTAGGTTAGGTTAGGTAGGGTTGGTTAGGTTCGGTCATATAACTACGTTAATTTTAACTGCAATAACAAAAATTGACCTCATACATAATGAAATGGGGTAGCTTTATCTTTTCATAAGAAAAAAATTTGAGAAATTATATTAATTCATGAAAACTTGGCTTATTAGGCAAATCGGGCCTTTAATAGTAGGCTGAGAAGTGCGTTCTGGCTACTAGGTACGACATATATATATATATATATATATATATATATATATGTCGTACCTAGTAGCCAGAACGCACTTCTCAGCCTACTATGCGAGGCCCGATTTGCCTAATAAGCCAAGTTTTCATGAATTAATATATTTTCTCTAATTTTTTTCTTATGAAATGATAAAGCTACCCATTTCATTATGTATGAGGTCAATTTTTGTTTATTTGAGTTAAAATTAACGTAGATATATGACCGAACCTAACCAACCCTACCTAACCTAACCTAACCTATATTTATAGGTTAGGTTAGGTTAGGTAGCCGAAAAAGCTAGGTTAGGTTAGGTTAGGTAGGTTAGGTAGTCGAAAAACAATTAATTCATGAAAACTAGGCTTATTAGGCAAATCTTTCCTTGTATAGTAGGCTGAGAAGTGCGTTCTGGCTACTAGGTACGACATATATATATATATATATATATATATATATATATATATATATATATATATATATATATGTCGTACCTAATAGCCAGAACGCACTTCTCAGCCTACTATTCAAGGCCCGATTTGCCTAATAAGCCAAGTTTTCATGAATTAATGTTTTTTTCGTCTACCTAACCTACCTAACCTAACCTAACCTAGCTTTTTTTGGCTACCTAACCTAACCTTACCTATAAATATAGGTTAGGTTAGGTTAGGTAGGGTTGGTTAGGTTCGGTCATATATCTACGTTAATTTTAACTCCAATAAAAAAAATTGACCTCATACATAGAGAAAAGGGTTGCTTTATCATTTCATAAGAAAAAAATTATAGTAAATATATTAATTCAGGAAAACTTGGCTTATTAGGCAAATCGGGCCTTGAATAGTAGGCTGAGAAGTGAGTTCTGGCTACTAGGTACGACATATATATATATATATATATATATATATATATATATATATATATATATATATGTATATTAGTTTTAGTCATATCGGTGCCACTTCTTAAATGTGCCGCGGGACTCAACTCATTATAACAACAGGCAGTTGTTATAATGTGGTCACTCCTAGACAAGTGGTTCATGGAAGAATTTCAAGGGGTTCATTGCACTAATACTTTGTGTTATATTGTAAGAACCACTTACAAGTCTGTTGAACTGAATGTCTCTGGCTATCATTTACATGCAGTTTTAACGGAAAATAACCGTGCAGAACTTTTAGCATATGAATGTACGTATTTGTCGCAACAATGGCTGCTGTTTTTGCTAGCTTGGACTATGTTGGTGTAGAGGGTCCACAGGTAACAATGTGGTCTAGATGTAAGACCCTGGTTGGAAAAGCGGGAATGAGACATAAAAGGCAGGGAAATACTGCTCTAGAACAACTACTGAATTTTCCCATTGTGAAACCTAAACAGTTGCCTAACTCCCAAGTACCTATTTACTGATACATGAACAGAGGCATCAAATGAAAAAAAGTGCCCAATATCTTCCGTCCTTCCCGGGGACTGTACCTGCGTCTTTCAATTGTGAATCGAGGATGCAGACTACTGTGCTTCAGATCCCTTATACACCATACTCTACATTCCAATATTGACAGAAATTACATGTGGTTGTCAGTCACAACCTGACATAATTCAGGTTACTCATAATTCATAGTTGCTCATAATTCAGTTCACCGTCGGATAAATAATCTATACAAGGCCTAGAGTTACATCCTTTTTTACTCGACTCTACGACATTTAGTAAAGGGCATGAGCCAGCAGGAACCAGTTTACTAGTGCACGAGAATTATTGGCGTTTGCTTGTGGGTGCAGATGAGTTCCAACATCTGTTATATATGAGTTCCAATATCTGGTATAGATGAGTTCCAACACATGGTATAGATGAGTTCCAATATCTGGTATAGATGAGTTCCCACACCTGGTATAGATGAGTTCCAACACCTGGTATATATGAGTTCCAACACCTGGTATAGATGAGTTCCAACACCTGGTATAGATGAGTTCCAACACCTGGTATATATGAGTTCCAACACCTGGTATAGATGAGTTCCAACACCTGGTATAGATGAGTTCCAACACCTGGTATAGATGAGTTCCAAAACCTGGTATAGATGAGTTCCAACACCTGGCATAAATGAGTTCCAATGCCTACATTTTGTCTTCATTATCATCACCACTTTCCTCTCCATTTAAATTATAATTTATATATTCTGATTCCTATTAATATTATTCTTAGTCGTATTTAAACTTTTATCATAGTGTATTATTCTTATTTTTGTTCTTTTCTCCAATTTCTTCCACTTTCCCGTTTTCCATTTTGAATCCCCGGTCCGTAGTAATAATAATCGATCAATTGCAAGCGATACTTTAAGTTTCCTTGAGTCATCTGAGTGCAACACGTGACTAACCCGGATTACCAAATCGATTTGCAATATCCATGAAAGGTGGTGTTTAGCTATGCACCATCTCCCTTAATAACCGTCTGATTGTAGAAAAACAATTCAAGTACCTCGTTCGTCACCTTATGGAATGGAAAGGAAATTTAATATCGACCAAATATTTTTATACATAAACGAATGGGATATCTTAAGACCTTTAATAAGAAGTGACTTAAAATCGTACTTCTCGATTGCGTGAGTTAGATATAGAGTTTCGACGCGGTGCTCCTTAATGTTTACAGAAGGTTGAGAATTCTTCTTTATTTTCCCTGGATTACCGTCCAAGCAGCTGGGGAATAAAAATAAACTCGGCACTTGGAAACGGCGTCTTGCAACTTGAACTGTGATCTCAATACCAATTCCAGACTCTTTGAGCAAAATGAAGCTGGAAAATCCACAACATTTATATTAAACAGTTGTGTCTTTGAAAACAGTCCTGGACTAAAGGCGATATTGGGAGGTTCTCAAGCGTTTCAATGGACTTGTTTATGCTGAAATTGCTAGTGTCATATACCACTACTGAAATAAAATAAAACAAATTAGAAATTTAGTAAATTTCCGTTTTCTTCAACTTGATGTGTGCTAAAATCCAATCAGCTTTTGAATATATTCTGGTTAAGCTTTTATTAAATTTTCATAAAAATCGGAAAAGCCGTTTTAGTGCGATAGATAACAGTTACAACAGTTACACAACCAACAGACATATCGACTAATAGATTTACATACTAACAGACTAACAGAATAAGATTCATTAACTCACACACTAACTCGCTAATAATTGATTCACCGATTAACAGTCTTGCACAGTGTTCTTGATCAAAACTTGTACTTTGAATAATAACTAAATGTTATTTTGCTTTTCAATAATATTAGTTAATATTAAAACAAATTATTCGTGTATTTTTAACTCTACAACGTGTATTTTAATTCTGATTTTTATTCAGAAATCTCCGCAGACACAAAATACTTCTTATCACTGGACAGAGTTGAGAATTAAAAACGTATATATTAATAAATCCTAAATAATGAAATAAAGTTTTCAGAACGTAATGGGGTGTCTTACGATCGCAAGATCTTAAAAAACTTGCAGCTGTACATACCTTCTCAAACCATTACAGCCACAACAGTAAGATAATTTTTGTTCGCGTGGGTAATGTTATTTCACCAAATATCCCTTCAGCTTAGTAATTGATAATTCACAAACAATTATACGCATATTTTGACCCTTTGTTCATTTTCAGCAAAAACTTAACATTGAGTTTAAATATGAAAATAAAAATATTTACAAACAATTAGTAATATTTGTTTTCAATAAAGCACACAAACTAGCACCAACTCTCCCTCCTATGCAACCCGCTGCACCATACCACTACTGTGCAACCCCCCTTACACCATATTGCAATCCCTTACTATCTTCATAGCCCAATAACTCTTCCTCTACCACTACCTCACTAACTCTCTATCACCCCACTTAAACTTCCCCCTGTACCCCAGTATCACCCCATCCCACATTTCCTTCCCTCCCATTTATCTCTCCTTCACCCCTTCCCCTCTCCACCAGTCCCCATCCCAAGTCCCCCTACGTCCCTTACCCCCCAAAGGATAATACTCAAATAAACACATAAATACTTAAATAAATCAATATTTACACAACAAATTCATCAATGCTTATCATCGGCCCAATATACCAATACTTCGCGTCATTCCAATAGAAATATAAAATGCAGGATGCCGTATCAGATAATGCTTAATGCTTATATGCTTATGCTTAACACAAACGGTATTTATGAAATAATTAATTTAAATTGCAATGCAAAAATCGTGACTGAAAGGGAATATTAAGTAATAGTATTAGGGACGCTCCCAGATGTACCCAATATATATATATTCAAACTAGTCTACACTGATTATAGAAAGTATGGCATAATAAAAATTAGTAATCTCATCTTCCTCTGGAGAGAAAGCCACTAAATTGACAAGTTACCAAGCCAATTAAGAACGTTTAGGCGAAGTAAGATAAATGGAGTCTCAGCTCTTTTTTACAGAATATATCGCCTCAGATGCCTAAATCAGTGATTAGCGTTTAAAGGTTTTAAAAAATCTTGAAGCGGAACTCTGTTCCATATAGCAAATGTGGAAGGGGATGAAGCTGACAGAACAGCGCTCTGTTCCAACAATAGCAGGCCAATACTGCGCTCAGATTCAGTATTAGCAACCCTATAGAGCGCTTTGTTCCAGTTCAAACAGCACAATAAAGCGCAATGTTCCAGCTTTAGCAGGCCAATACAGAGCTCTGTTCCAACACTAGTTTGTTCCAATAATGATTATACGACAGAGCGAATAAGTCATACAGAAGGAATAAGACATACAACGGAGCAAATAAGACATACAACAGAGCGAATAAATCACGAGGCGGAGCAAACAGGTCGTGTTATCGAGCGACTAAGATATAAGACAGTAAACTTCCCATGACAATAATCCACATCACCTACGAGTTCCTATACACAACTGCGTCCCAGCAAGCCACGAGAAACACCCATTGTTAATGCCAGGCAATCGATGACCGTCCACGATTTCAGTTAGTTTAGCCACGGAAGTTCATCAATCATCTCTCCCGCGTCTTTAATAACTCCAGAGGACCATCCATTAAAAGTTAGGCAAAGTGTAGTTACGATTCAGCTTAACAGCCTCGACGGCAGTTAAGCCGAGGGGGTATGTGTTGGAGACAAGGATGGGGAGGGGGGAGAGTTAGCGAAGGGAGGAATTAATACTTATAAATAAAGTTTACAAGTTTACTTATAAATGCTGACAAGTTAGGTTCGTCTGGAGTGATCTCGTTTTCAGATTATTGAGTAATTTGAATTTTCTTACGTGCATGCTAAACAGATCACATCAAATAATACTGATAAGGATAATTGTAATAGCAGAAATATTAATAATAATATTATTAATTGAGAAACTCACTTTAATGCCGTAGTGCTTAAACTAAGGTGAATGAAACACCCAGTTTATGTTTAAGTGTATTAAAAGTCAAATTTTCATATGTAACCTACATCCTTTCTCAATGTACTGTATACAATATTCTATTCTGTATAATATTGTAAACAGAACCTTGAAAAACGATATAGGTTACATCCGAAAATTAGTCTTTTATGCACTTGAGCATAAATTGGAGCTTTCATTCATTATTATTAATGACATTAATAGTAATACAACTGTAATGATAAAATACAGAATATACTTGTATATACTTAGCGTTTTACCAAACAAGTCGTGCCGTGCTAAGTAGCTTATGCTTTACTAAATCGCTCGAGATTCACCATGTGTTTTTATTTAGCAGCCAACTCCTCGTGTATGGCTTGTATGTTCAGTGTGGCTCGTATTTTAAAGGAGTGCTTCTTGCTCCACTCTGTGACTCATACTTCAGTATGTGGTCATACTCCACTAGGTGTGGTATGTCTATCTTAGCGTCTCGGGTCTCCATGATGTGGCCTCTACTTAATTAAGTATCCATACCACTTGTATTCTGAGAGTAGAGGGTTCTTAAGATAATAGATACGTTGCATTAATATGTTTATAATAAATACTATTATTTACATTTTATATTATTTTAATATTTTTATTATTATTAATATGTATTATATGTATGTGTGTGTGTGTATTATATATACACACACACACACATACATATATATATATATATATGTGTGTGTGTGTGTGTGTGTATATACTCACCTATTTGTACTCACCTATTTGTGCTTGCGGGGGTTGAGCTTTGGCTCTTTGGTCCCGCCTCTCAACTGTCAATCAACTGGTGTACAGATTCCTGAGCCTACTTGGCTTTGTCATATCTACATTTGAAACTGTGTATGGAGTC